AGAAACACTGTTCTAATGAATCACACCAGCTGTTTATCCTTCTTGCCTAAAAGTTATGGAAAGTCGTTGTGAAGCAGTACCAGCTCACCCATCACACACTCACTGCTAGGTGGCTAGCCTTGGCAAAGTAGTTCTGAATTAAAAGATTAACGCTCTTGAGCTGAACTGCATGAGGATTATGAGGAGCGAACTGGGGGAGAAGTGAAGGGAAGAGACTTGCTTTTAGAAATCTAAGTCCCTACTTTGCTCTGCTACTCACAGGAATACAAAAGAGAAGCTATTTTATACCAGAAACAACAGAAAAAGGAGAGTATGAATCCTCCTGGGTGTTACAACCATTTTCTGCAATAGCAATACAGTTATATTATTGTTTTGTGGTTTTTATATTGTTTCTTATGATTTTAATCTGCTTTGTGTTTTGCTGTTAGCCACCCAGAATCCTTTTAGAGTAGGGGTAGATTACAAATGCTATTAAATAAATGAAATCATAAATACAGGAGCTAAAAGTTAGTCAGATACATGTCAGCTGTCTAGATAACTAAAAGAATCTTTGATCTGACAAAGCATAACTATCCTTGTATATTTATATATCTAGACATTGTCAGGCAACTAGGAAATTATTTGAGTATCCAGTACCCGCGGGGTCTTGTCTTAGCAAATAGGTTCTACAACTCATTTGCTTGGCATTATACTTTTCCATGGCTTTTAAAAGTCTTGCATTTAAAATGCCACATCAAGTCAGGCATATTATAACTGAATGCAACTAGACTGCTACAAGCTATAGCATTATTTCATTCCAGTTGAGTGAGATACAAGAAGATCTGAAATGACTGGGGGGTGTTCAAGACATCAGTCCCCATTTATTTCTGCCCATCTATTTCCACTCTTCTATTCCTGCCAAAGCATCACTGATCCTGAAATTGGAAAGGTCAAAGTGCAACGCCATGCATTATTGACATTCAGTGTGACTGATCACCTGTTGTTTATATAGTAGCAAAAATCTTTAGAGGATCAAGCCATAAGTTTAGGATAGTTTGATGCTTACACTCAGAAGTGTCTAATGTTCCTTTATGAACAGAATAAATTTCAAAGGAAGAGTGCTGTAGTCATGGAAGGTGTAAGTGCAGTTGTGTAAGTGCAGTTCTTTCTTCTGTGAACACAAGCTTTGTCCACTCCCAGCTTGAAAAAGTTAGATTCCACTCATGATTTTAACTAGTGATAGTTACTACTGCTACTGTGAAAAGAATTAGCAATATATCCATCTCAAAACTCAGCTACGAAACTGCATATCATTTTTGGTGTAGCTTCAGTTTTGGATTCTTAATTGCTAGATGTGATTAATGTTTGCTAACTATGCTTCTACACAGAGCCTGAGAAAGAAAAATTAATGAAGACCACACAGACCCAGAAGAGAAAGGGTAAAGAAATACATTTTTAATGTTTTAAGACTTTTTAACCTTATTTTCAGACTGCAAAAGTAGTGAAGAGACCTGGACAAAATCCTTTTCAAGCCTGTAGAGTTAACAAAGAGACTGGAAAAGTTTATTGATGGGAATAATAATGATTGGTATTATTTACTTGATCTAGCTGTATAAAATCTTGTTACATTAAATGCAAGTTTAAACGTACTCAGATTGATTGATATTCTGATCAAATTACAGATACAGCTAAGCATCATCTCCTGTCCTATAAAAGTTCACTCTGTACAATTAGAAATTCAGCACCTGGAAATAATCAGTACCTTAGTGTATTTGTCTCTCTGTGGATTGCCTGAATCCACATTCACTTCTCTAGGGATAATTCTGATACATTATTTATAAGATGGATGCTTACTCCATTACTATTTGCTGTCAGAATTAACTCTATCAACAGTACTAACAGCAGGACTTTGGGGAAAAGGTCCCATTCAACAGGATGTACAAGTGACCCTCTAGATGCAGCAGAGATACACAATATCTTAAAATCATTAAGTCCAGAGTCCTAGTTCTAGGCTCTGGTTCATGATGTTCTAGATGCCATGGTTGCGTAGGGAAAAAGAATAAAATGTGTGGTTATAAGTATCATTAAGCAAGATAGAAAAGATGCTCAACTGAACATCCTCATGAGAGATTTGCCACCCTAGAAATGTTTTCAAGCCTTCATTGTGTGAAAAATAGTTTATTTTAATGAAAAACAACATGCGTATTTTGCATATGAAAAGCAATATACATATTTTATTGAGAAACTAAATACATTTTAGTAAAGAGGTGAATTGATTTTAATTTAAAAAAATAGACAAATATTGACCCTTTTAAGGGAAACAAACAGTGATAGAGGAAAGCTTGAACAAAGCATACACTTGGGAGGACTTTGGGGAAAAGAGTATTGCTCCAATGTGCAGTAAAAGGATGGGGTGAGAGTTTCCTTCCTTAATTATATTAAAGAACTAGCTAATTTGGATTGGTTCAAGGAAAGCTTATGCTTAATGACTAATTGTGGCCTCTCCACTGACAGCATACATTCATCACTGACAAATGAAAGAAGGGGTTATTTTTGACAATTCCCTCCAGACTCCTACAAGCAATCTGCACCCATTTCCATGCAGCCCCACCCCCCAAAGCTACATTTGACAAGAGAGATTACCCAAAATTACTCTTTCCTCATTCTTCTGATAAATATCCACACAAAGGAACACAGCATAAGATTCCTATGATATAACTAAAAATATGTAATGAATGGAGAAAGAAAAATCAATCAAAATATTTCTGAGACCTCTTAACTGTTACATATCTTTTTAACTTATACTTCTGGCCATAATACTCATCAACTTCCATTCTTGATGGCTGCATCTGCATGTATATAAATGTGATTTTTTAAAAAAGAAAAAATGCAAAACAAAATAAAACAAAATGAATGAATGATATCTATTTTTTATAGATATCTCAAAAGAAAAAGAGAAACCTCCTATTGCTGTCAAAGGAAAAGGTAAATATAATTTCTAAGTTCTTATTCTTTTTTTAACTAGGACTATTTTAAGATTTCAGAAACTTTTTTATTGTTGTTGCTAAAGCGATTTAAGATAGTTATATGAGGAGCGTTATATACAAAACTACAGAATGGACTTAGTGTTGCTATCAAACAAGAGAGGGTCCTTAATTTACCACTGTCCTCTTTTTTGCTGTAACTTTAGTTCACTTTCATCTAATGGCTCTTCCACATGTTGGGTTTGCACCACTGCCAGCTGGTTCTGAAACCCTCTGAGCCAATCTTCTTATGACTTCTCTTGGTAGCTGGGTTGATTTACTTCCAGCTGTACTACAGTAGTAGTAGGATTACTACTGAAGCAGGTTTTCAGCTGGAAAAACTGGAACTTGGGAGTGGGCTTGGAGGGAACTTTTGCATTATCCTCTAATTGCCTTCTGATCTCCAGCCACCTTAGCAGGTCTTATAAGATGCATGTTGTCCTGGCAGGTGCATGTTGTCTTGGCAGCTTCACATTTTAGTTGTTTATTTGATTGATTAATCAATTTATATGGCCATGCACCTTGCAAATTGTGACTCTGGTCGACTAACTTAGGGTTAAAACAAAAAGACAAAAAGAAACCAAGCAAAAATAAGAAAGACAATAACGTTGTACTGTACCTAAGCCTAACCACAATCATAATCCCAACCATTACAAAGCAGGCTCTTGTAACATCCTGGACCAATGCCAGGGGAACTGAGCTTATAAAGGGAATTTTCCCTTCACTGGCTCAAGTGAAGTGAGGAGTGGTGAACAGTCTACTGTATCAGGTTTCCCTCCCCCCCCGACCCCCCCCCCGCTTCAGGAGCTTGAGGCAGGGCAGTGATTTTTGCTCCTTGCTCTTAGTGCTGCAAGGTCAACAGCACTGAAGACAATTGTGGGTTGGTTTCAAACTGCTTTTGAAGAATTGCAGAATATAAATGGTGATGGAGTAAAGTGTCCTTAGCTTTTACATACCTATATTAAGCTTTGGCTTTCAATCCCAGTCATCATTCACTCTACCACATTTAGGAATAAATGAAAATTTGGAATTTTCACCAGACTGAAAGCATAACAGTGAAATCATAGAATATTTAAAATCAGCTAAATTATACTTTTAACAGATGCAACTAATTCTTCTGATTTTATGATAAAGAAAGCATTGATCCTTTTTAATTTAAATGGCTGCAAAGCCATAAACTTTGATGACGATAATCCTCCAATAGGTCTATAATGGAAAAAGTGATAGACATTCATCATATGATACTACTTTATTCACCTTAACTTTTTGGTTTGCTGAAGTCCTGATTCAGCACACATGCTAACACCTGTGTTATTATAGCTAAAATATTGTGACTGTAGCTTTTAAAATGGGGACATTTGCTCTTAAGGCAAGAAAATTCATGCTTAAATTGCACTTTTGCAAGCTAAGAAAATTGTATTTTTCAGAGGCAGAAAAATCAAAGGATGCAAAGCTTCCCATTGCCAAGAAACAGGGAGGTAAATATATTATTATATTAATCAAAATATATAATTCCTGTATTTGTTTTCCTTCTCTGTCATCTTAAATGAGACTTTTCCTCCCAGAATTCATGGATTTTAAATGGCTGGTGAAGAAATGCAAAGAAGAATTTGTTCATAGTTTATGATTATAACGGAGAGACCACCTAAATTTACCTAATTTACCTAATCCAATCTCGGAAGAGTATGCCAGAGGCTGGCTAAAGTCCATGTCAAAGTAAACTCATGTTTGACAGTCTCTGAAGTTCTTCTGAATATTGGATCTGGGAAAAAATGGCTCACTTCTTCTGTGCAGTGTAATCGAGTTTGGGGATACCCTGACCAATGGAAACCCCTCTGTTCAGCTGGGAAAGGGAAGATCTTATGCATGAATGAAAAGAACCTGTATCTCAGGTTCATCTGTATCTATTGCTACCAACGTCAGTGAAACAAGCACTCATGCCTATGAATATGAAATATGAAATATGAAATATATGTTCAATTTATACAGTATCTGTGATTTGGGGAAAGGGGAGAGATGCTTGAGGTTGCAGATGTTAAACAAATCAGTTGTGTGATATGTGTGCAAATTTTTGTTATTGTTCAACGCTGCATGTAAGGTTGGATCGGAGATTCAATTAAGCGGTCATTTTATATGCGGCACTTTCTATAATATGAACTGAGCATTTTTCAGAGCAAACATGCTCCTTGATTCTTAGTGTGCATGTCAGGACATTGACATTTTGTCAGAAAAGTATAACTGCTATGTCTAAATTGGCTGCAAGTGTCCATACAGCTTGAGGCTTTGCTAGTCTTCCCATTCTTTTTTCATAATAGTAAGTGGCATGTCACATAGCTCCTATGACACAACATCTGAGGAAAGTCATAGCAGAAAAACCAACAACCACTTCAGTCTAGTGATTCACATTTCCCTTTGATATTTCCTCTACTGTACAATGAAGAAACTTCATTTTGGCATTTCCATTGAGATTTAAGCTTTTTCATGATTTGGGTGGTATTTCTCTCTCGCCTTCAGGATCATTGATATGGTCCATAGACTACCACAGCATGCACCTCTTTAATGTGTTAAACTTTCTTTGCAAGGTGGCCACTTAATTCCCTGTGGAGACCAATGAATAAATAAAAAGGAGAAAAAGTGTGTATTAGTTGTACTATATATAAATTATTTACTCTTAATTTTTATTTAGGTAGTACAGTGTGGAAGAGAGGAGGAAGATGGTCTTTCTCTATCATCCCTTGCTGGGCCTGGAAGTGGAAGCTATCTGGGCCAAAGATGTGGAAGCCTATTGTTGCAGGATGATTTCCTATTAGGAACAGCTCCCATGCCAGTTCTTGATTTTGCCTCTGACAGCCCACACTTCTGCTTTCACCTCCTGGCCCAGAAGGGTAAGATAAGAAAGCCCCCTCCCTCTCTGTGCTGCTTGCCAATCCTGGTTTCATTGCTTTCAGGAAATATTCAGTATGTGTTAGATATAAAATCTCCACTTTGGGGACTTTTTGTCAGTGGAAAGTGGGCTAGAAATGTTATAATAAATAAGTAAATAAGCAAACCAATAAATATTCCCTCCAGTATCCTTTTAAAATATATTACAAAAGAACTATCTCTAGAAAATTAGCATAAATGTTTTGGGGGTCCAAAATCCAAAGTAAGTTACAGCCAATCCATTACCAAGCTTCCCAAATACAGTCCTAAAGCTAGAGGTAGGCAAGAAGGTGGAAGTGCCAAGTTTCCTGGGAGGAGAAGTTTGCCCAGATCTGTTCTGATGAATGGAAGATGGAAAGGAGTTAACTGTCACTAACTTCCTTTTTCTAGCTACTCAATAGTCCTATCTTTCCTCTACCTTTCTTTTTTAAAAAATCTGCTCAGGGAGATTGGGGCACTGTGCAGAGAAGCACAAGAGCTAGATGGAATGAGAAGCATTCCACAGATGGAATGAGGACCTGGCAAGCATTTCCTTCTTCCACTGCCACCACCAGGGACATTTATTGGGTCATGTTACTTCCTTGACTGGGGTCCATCTGAGCAAGAAAGAACAACTAAAGATGAAAGCCAAGAATTTCCAGGTTGTAGTGTAGGGAAAAATTAATCCTGTAATGGATTATTTATCCACTATCCTGCTCTATCCCTTTCCAGATACCACTGTTGAGTTTTGGTCCATGTTAGAGCAGGATAGTGGATAAATAATCCATTGCAGGATTAATTTTTCCCTACATTACAACCTGGAACAAATAGCACATTTTTAAAAAATCCAAATTTCTCTGTTTTTAATCACAGGAATGTGCATGTGGTCGAGAAAGTTTGCAAAATACTGTATTGCTGTTCCAGCTTTTCAAATTCTTCCTTGCACTGCTACGAAGCCAAATGGCATCTTTGCAATTGATAGCGTGATGGATAAAACATGTCATGCTCCCTAAATTTGCACATTTTAAACCGCACTGTTTGACATTCTCATTCATGCTGACTCTGCATGCTGCAGCTGCCAAGCACACTAGGCAATCTTTTCCGATTACACTTTCTTATTTAAATACCCACTTGACCTGAAGCAAAACAAAATAATGGGTCATGGGTTGAAAGAGGCAATGAAATAAGGAGAAAAAGATCAAGAGAAGCTGAGGCATCAGACAAAACCCACTCAGCAACTACAGTAGGCACGCAGTTCAGCTGTGGAGCAGACCAACAGTGCAATCTTATGCATACCTGCTCTAAGTTATGAGACAGCTGGACCTTTGACAGTGGAGTGTTGTAGCTAGAGCCTAGACTCCCCACACTAGAGAGCTGAGCTGTTAGCCTGGAGATGGTCTCTTCTCTGTCCTACCAGGCCAGCTAAGGGAAGAGAGGGGTTGTGTGTTGGATTATACACATGGAGTTAATGCCTGAGCAGGACTAGAGAGTCCTTCGCATGCATATTAGTCTGTTGTAACTCAATATGAAATGGATGTTACCAGATCATGATGTAAAAAAGAACTGGGGAGGAGTGGGGAGGCAATATGGGCATGCAAGTTCATTCTTCTTTTAATTTTTTTTTCCAATGGGTTATTAGCTCAATTTTCAGTCTGATGTATAACTTTACATAATCTGACAATGTAATTTTTTTTATTGAGAGGTGCTATAGCAAATATAAGAAAAACATTCAAAATTAAGATGGGTTAACAATCCTGACTTTAAAAAGAATTTTCTATTTTTCTCATACTTTAGAACGTGACATTAAAAAAAGAGCAAGTCCAGCTAAAACAGGTAACTGACTATTTCTAAGTAACTTGTGTTAGAAGTGCCCACTACAGATTTTATTAATTATTTGGATAAATTCTTCCAACACTACTGCTCAACCTGAAAGCATAATTTCAATGTGCCAAATGTGCTAATTTCTAATTATTCATTCATTTGTATTAATAACGACAATGTGCTATATTATCTTAGCATTAGTAGGAGACCTTTAAAGTTCTCATCAATAGTTCACTGAAAGTAGAATTGTCTAAAATAATTCTATTTAATAATTCTATAATTGTCTAAAGTTCTATAGTAAGTAATGAGGTTTGCTGTATTCTGTGTGTAATATGAAC